TTCCGACGAAACTTTAGCGACACAAGTCCTTACTTAATATAACTTCACGATACACTCAACTTCAACAGTTGCGCTATAACAAACTATAATTCACGTATCACGAGCTGGACTTCAACAATACGTCTCTCTCTGTCTGCAGTTCAATTACTCATTACCTACACACACATTATTGTCCCGTCACGTTGTCACCCTCTTATATATATACCAGTCTACCCTATATCTAGTAATCTCCCGAAGGTTCGAGAAAGAAGCGGCGTGACACTAGTCACGTGACCTCGCTGACGCAACAATATATAATCAGTTAGACGCAATTATTTACCTATAATTGTATATAGTTCATTTATATTAGACGAATGATATAATAGTTTTATATCAATCAATTTTGAAATTTACCACCCCCTTTCCCTCTCTCCAAGTACATATCTGCGCAAAATATTTTTCTTTTAGATAACTATGTTGTTTATATCGTAATAAAATTAAGATAATTTATCTCAGTCGCTGAATCACCGTCTTGCAAAATGTATTACGTTTCTGTTGGAACTGTAAAAGTGAAACGCTGGAGTCAACACTACCATAAAACACCGATTCCCTGTCGAAACTGTAAAAGTGAATCGTCGGGCTTAAAAAAATTATTTACCAGCCGTTGATTGGTCTTTTTAAATAGATCTACGAGTTTAGTACTTAAGTGTTTAATAAATCGACCTCATTCCAATAATCCTATTTTTGTGCAGGAAGAACGTTTTAAAACTACTGAAAAATTAGGGGTGGAGGGTTTCAGGAAGAAGGAAAGGGAAATTATATTGTGTATATAACTATACAAATCTCTGTTACTTGGACTCATTTCAAGATAAATATTTTCAAATGACAGAAACACAAATCTGACAACAGCAAAAAATGAGTAATAGGCATCTAATTATAGTTTACCTTCCGTGTTACTGTAGTACATAGTTAAACCACTTGTTCAGAAGGACGGTGGCAACGTAAGTAGGTCATTGGTTTGTGCTTAGCTTAAAAGAACTGTGCAGTTATGACCAGTAATAGAGCTGGAATTGAAAATCTCAAGGTAATTTATAAAATTCCCACTAACGTTAAGATATAATTCCTATGCACTGTTTTTCTTTCTTTCTCTCTTGGATCTTGACTAACAATTTTTTTTTTTTTTATGTACTGATCACTTTTTGTTTCACCTACCGTTTATAGGAAAAATTTAATTGAACGAGATGGAACCATCGATGCACAATTACACACACTATCTATATTACCTAATGACTTTTCGAGGAACATAAACATTTCTTATCACCGAACAGCAGCACGTGCACTCTTGGCCACCTAGAAAGTGAATTCCGTTTAACCCCGTTTAAAATGTGGGTGGTTGCTATGGCAGATTTTCCATAACGTACCTTAAAGATGATGTCACGATTTTAGTACAATACACGCATGGCTTCAACGTGGATGAATGAATTAGAATGTATAACGTGTTAGAAAAGGCCTAACCTTAATGTTTTAGAGTTTCGATAAAAGTGCGTGTTCTAGGACCCGTTCACATTAAGGCTTAGCTTTAATATTTTGAAATGTGTGAGTTCCGTAATATATTTATATACATTCTTTATCATAATGGGTTAATTCATGGTAGAAGTCTAGACCCAGTTTTATGAATGTTTAATTCGTGTCCCCAACTCCGAGTCATAAATGATCTTGTTTCAGTGTTTCTCACGATAATATATTCTTGCACCCTTCAGTTATCAAACGTGTAATTCGTGCTTTTTTAGTGGAAATAATTACAGCAATCTAATATTAAGTTTTGATTACTCTAGGGGGGGAGGAAAAGTGAAAATGTAGAGTCGGTACCTGGTTGTTTTATTGACGATGTTTTATTATTTGTTTTTAAATCTGACACTTGTCGACAAGTGAAATCTTATACTTTGATTTGTTGGCCTTATAAAGGAGATGTGTGTATGTTTAGAGCGATTTATGTCAGTTACCAGTCCTTGACCTTTGACCCGTTAAATGGCGTGACAGCTTGTTTAGTTTTGTCTAGTGGAAATGCGCATATTTGGGTTAAATGCTAATATCTGAATACACAAATCAAGGTTGAAATTTTCTGCATTTTCATTTCATGCCCACAAAATACGCAAATTCTAAACGAACCAGAACGACACACTGTTATGTTAAATCGTCGTAACTACAGCTTAAGCGACGGTGTATTAGATCATCATGATTAAGGATTAAGCAGTAGTGTTACGTTAGGTCGTCATGATTAAGGATTAAGTGATTGACTGTTGGGTTAGATGAGTACTTGCTTGACACATGAATGAATTAGAATTAGGTCATTTAATAATATTCAAGTTTCTAACACCTGGCTCAGATCCCCCCTGGTGATATAGTTGTTGTAGCAAGTGTCGTGAGTCATGGAGTTCCAAATAATCCTTATACCAAAACCTGTACGGCTAGGTTATGAGCTTTAAATGTTTCGTACACACGTTATACGATTTGAGATTAGATTGCAGCTGGCTAAAATCACTCCAGAAACTAAATAAAAGTATCTCTAGCATTGGGAAAAGGGTACTTATTTGTTAGTGTGTCTGTCCTTTTTTTTTTCATCTTTAATCCTTGATTTGCTATTTTCAGACTGTATTGCTTTGAATAAGAGTGTATTGAACTATGCGCGTGTCTATTAATTCCAAAAAGAAAGATATTGAAGAAACGCGGAGTGCAGCTAGCTAGATGTGCTGTCTTATCAGTTTGGCATGTTTGTAACTTGCGTTGTTGGACGCAATACACTGACAGGGGAGTGTACCGGAGGCCTAGAGCTGCTGCTGCTACTACTACTACTACTACACAGTGAACATGTCCATGACCCACTTTCTTGTAGCCTGAAGGAACTGTCTATCCAACAAGGCGTCCATATGGTATTATCAGCATATCGCAGTTAAAAAAAAATAAAATCAGCGAGAGTAAGTTAAAGGATTATAACACTTGTTTCCTGCGTAAAGGAAAAAAAAAGAAGGTTATTTTTATAATTGTAAGAACTTCCGTTTACGGATAATATTAATAAGTTATGTGTCTGCCTGTCGTTTTTACTAACTAATTTGAGATGGTTTTGGTTTGTTTGTGCTATTGAATTTCATGCTAAGCTACTCGAGGGTTATCTGCGCTTCCCCATCCCTAATTTAGAAGTGATAGACCAGAGGGAATGCAGCTAATCAACACCTCCCACCGCCAACTCTAGGGCTTTTCTTCACCAATGAAAAGTGGGATTGAATGTCACATTATAACGCCCACATAGCTGAAAGGGCCGAGCATGGTCAGTGACGGGATTCGAACCCATTACCCTAACCACCAGGTCGTATTAGACCAATAGAAAACACGTATTCAAATATACACTGAACTGGCATATTTAATTATCAGAAGACTTTCTGTGTAAAGTAATTAAAGCATTACTAAGCCTCATGTACATACTTCTTATTGCGTTGTACATGTTGTCACATTCTGTGTCAGACTGTTTGTTTTAAAGAAACTGTTAAAAAACGGCTTTGCCAAACCTTTTATTTAAAACGAGATACTAATTTAAAGAACAAAGCCTTTCCTATTGCAAAAAAAAAAAAAAATCCCGGCAGTAGGGTAATGAATAACAGCCGGGCGCCAGTTACTTGATGGGAAAGTTTAAAATGTTTCCTGGTTTTGGAGGTGTCTTAAGAAGTAGGACTCTCATAGAGGTGGGAATACACTGTCTTTACAAACTAACAACATTATAAATAAGTAACTGAAAATAAAAAGCGGATGGGGTCCACATGGAACTGCTCTATTTTTGAACATGTAGTTATGTAACATGTTCTTTTATTTTTGTATGGAACTACACCAAACTAAGTGTTTCCTAATTAAGAAATCTTTATCCTTGGCAGTTTTTGCTTGCAAATTAACTGTTCATGTATTTGTGAAAAACGAACAAAAGGTGGTTTGAAATGTTTTATCGTAGTACAAACAGGCAAGTGTTGGTCTGGTGGTTAGGGCACTTGTCTCGCATTCTGAGGGTCGTGGGTTCGAATCCCTGTCCCACCAAACAATCTCGTTCTTTCAACCTTTCAAATGTGACGGTCAATCTTCCTATTCGTTGATAACAGAGTAGCCCAAGAGTGGGCGGTGATGACTAACTGCCTTCTCTCTAGTCTTACACTGCTAAATTAGGAACGGCGAAATAAAAAAAAAAAACACCAAAAACCTTTTCAGACGTAGAGCCGTTATATGTTACGATCAATCCCTCTATTCGTTGGTAAAGAGTAGCCCGAAGAGTAACGAGTAGCGGTGGGTGGTGTTGACTAGCTATCGCTTCAGAATTAGCGATGGCTAGCGCAGATAGTCCTCAAGTAGCTTTGCGCGAAATTCCAAAACAAACGGAGCATACAAATATAACGTGGACAGTGGGATGAGGACGAAATCAGATGGTCATACGTGCCCTTTCTTCTGCATACGATATATTCAGTTCAATAAAACCTGTCTTCTCTCTTTTTTTGTTGTTGTTGTGACTAGAGACATCATAAATTTGTTTGTTTATTTGTAATTAAGCACAAAGCTACACAATGGGCTATCTGTGCTCTGCCCACCACGGGTATCGAAACCCGGATTCTAGCGTTGCAAGTCCGCAGACATACCGCTGAGCCACTGGGGGGGGGGGGACATCATAAATGGAGATGATAGTAAATAACCATATACTTAATCATCCTGTCAGGGCAATGTCAAAGAAAACAATATAGTTTTTACTGAAAGGTTAAAATCAAATATCGGAGGCTATAAAAAGTTCAGAGGGCAAACTTATATTTTACAGTTTGGATACTACTATTGGATTCTGTGTGTTATCTTACATGACTGAAATGTGAAAATGCATAATGAAATATTCTAGTATTCCTACGTTATTATCCATCCTTAAAATATTTTTGTTCAATTTTCCTTTAAATAACTTACTACTTAATTTTTCATTTTTTGGTTTTTGCTGTTAATTACAGCTGTGAGGCCGGATCGGATGAGAGGAGGTCGAAACAAATTTGGACCTATGTACAAACGAGACAGGGCTCGTAAATTGCAGATGTTACGTCAAAAGCATATTGTCCAGTCGCACTGCTTGGCGTCCCCACGGGAAATGGCGCCTTCCAGTCCTTTTCTACCTCCGCAGGCAGTGTCGGTGACAGTAGGTGCGCCTTCTATGTATTCCACAGACCTAACTCAAGTGAAACAAGAACTGATTCAAATCCCTCACCTCAGTTCATCAACCAGTTCTCCCGATTCTTCTTCCCCTTCTTCTATATCAACCACTACACAGCCCCACATCTCCATGCTTCCACAACTATCCAACCAACACCAATACCCTTCCGTTTCTCATCTTAGAGACCACAGTAAGACGACGTGGATGACAACCACTCACCACCCATCCAATTCCATAATTCATCACCCAACCTATTCCCCCAAATCTTATCAATGTGATCCCGGCCCTTCATCTGCAGTACCTGTTCCCCTGGCGACCGGAGGAAACAGCATACCTGATCTTATACGAGATCTTCAGATGTCGTTTGTTGATGACAAAGAATGGCAGAGTCACCTCTTCAGTCTTCTTCAGAGTCAGACGTATAACCAGTGTGAAGTTGATCTCTTTGAGTTGATGTGCAAAGTAATAGATCAATCTCTGTTTGCTCAAGTTGACTGGGCCAGGAACACAGTCTTTTTTAGGGATCTGAAAGTAAGTTTTCCTTTCAGTAATAATGAACGTCACATGTTTTAGAATAATACATTCTGTACTTGTTTGTGTACAAAAAGCAACTTAATGGTATTTATTAATATGACCATTTACGTTATTTCCGATTAAACCTTTATAAAGCTGAAGGCCTTTCAAAACTAACCGTCAAATAGACAACATGTTCATATACCATTTACTACCGGTGGGGTGCACATATCGCATCATAGTAGATTATTTTATGTGTTTGTGTGTTACAACACTAAGTGTAAAGAAGGATAACCTCAGTGCTTAATTATAAACAGTGTAAAGAACTGACAAAAGGGGTGGGGTGGAAACACCAGCAGTAACTAGTGGAATTATTTGCAACATTTATGATGCGTGTGTTTTAATTTTTATCAGTAACTCGTATGTTATAAAGGTTTCTGCAACCAATAAAATCATGGACTCATAAGTAATTTGGTAATAAACAGTTTAAAAACGTGTGTTTTAAAAGCCGATGGGATAGGTAGTGTTAAACAATGTTCTTGGTTGCTTCTTAAGATCCTAAGAATTATGTCAGTAGCTTTATGCTTTTAATTTATTTTTAGTTAACTATAACCAAAATAAACAGTATTCATTAATAATAACTATAAAAATTACTGTAAAACGATAACGATATAAATAAATTGAATTATTTCATCATGGAATTGACATTAAATTTAAAATAAATTATGAAGTGACGGTAAATTTGGCCCTAGGTTTCATTCAAAAAAACAATTTGCCTCCATTTTTGGAATGTATTTTAGGAAGCCTGTAAGTTAGGCACATCTTGTATCCCACATGTAAGGTAAAAGTATAATTTTTACCAACATTTCTTTTAGTAAAAATCAACCTGAAATAGTTAACTTGCTTGTTATTTGTTTCCGGCATTACAGAATCTTTTTTGGCTTGCATTTATAAGGATGTGAAAGGTACAGCAAAACTTGACTAGTAAATAGTAATCTCCGAGTATATATTGTTTCGTAGCTAGCTAAGCCTAAGAAGAGTACTGTGAAGGAGTTAATGTAAGGCCTAGCGTTATAGGAGTCATTTTTACCTCGACATGTTTCATGGTCAACACCACTCTATTATCTATAATAATAACTAAAATGATATTTAATTAACTGCAATAATAACTATAAAATTAAACCAATAATTATGACAATTAAAAACAAACAAACTGTGATAGCGGTGCAACTGCGTTCTGGCACTTTGGTTGTTTTGTATGGAATTATTAGTGTGTTGGTTCCTATATGAGGGATAAAAAAATCATTGCTATTTTGCTACCTACAAGCTAATTCATCATTACTTTCGGGACTGCTTAAATTTAGAGCCAAGTTATTGTTGTGCTATATCCAATCATGCTTTGTTTTAAATATACATCAAACTACAAGTTGAGAAGCACTGCCTTAGAGAACTTTATGTTGACGAACAAATCTAGGACATTGGACAGCAAGCATCTTTGATGTTTTGTTCGAAGAACACAAAATTTTCTAAGGTAATGTGTAATGTACAGGTTTTTCGAGAAAGTTGACGAATTGATTATTATAACGATTGAAAAAAAAAAATGGGCCCTGTGAATATACTGGTAACGCCCCTGTAACAGAAAATTATCATTTCACTATATACACTCCGACGATTATTTCAGCTCGTTTTAATCTGTTATATGAATCAGTTTTTATCTGTCCTAAAAATACTCTCACACTTTACTATCTAAATGCGCATGCGCGCCATTTCATTTTCTATGGATTTAAACAAAGGGCGGATGTAAATATACTTTAGTAAACATTTTGTATAACAACAAATTAAAAACTTATCACAAAATTTTTAAAAGGTATAACGTTTATTTATTGATAGTATTGAGTACAGTAAAGTTAGTAAATTAAAGCAAAAAATGTACATAAGTTAGTGTTTACTTATCTCTATCGAATATAAGCCGTACTTAATAAAGGCTTAACTAGTGTTAGGCTGAAGACAAGTGGACTTGTAGATTTCAGTGTCCGAGATTATAAATAAATCTTGTATTTAAAGAACTACTGTTGCAATAAAGATACTAACTTGACCGCAAATGTTTCGCGGGTTTCTGGTAGTTTATATAAATGTAGGAACTGCTGTCTTCTTAGGAACCATACTTAAGTCAACGTTAACTCAAAATTGAGTACTCGAGTTCGTTTATATTATTTTTACTTCACTTATGTACTTAACATCCAAAATATTATTTAGAAGTTGAAGTACCGGTCTTTTATCCGGTTTATGAACTTAAAAAAATGTGTGTGTGTGGATGCTATGATAAATAATACAAAAATCCTAACCGTCACACAGTTTATTTATAATGTAACATATTATTACAGTATTCATTATTACCTCACCAAAAGTTGTGTGTAAGCTTAATTTGATATACTTAAAACATGGTATACACTTTTCTAATGATCAGGGTGAGTTTTGTAGGAAGAAGTAGCAGAAATGTAGTGGCGGTAGAAAAGTGCTTTCTGTTTCACGTGATTAATTAATCGACGGTCATTGGCCGCCAAAGTTGAAAGGTCACAGTAGGAACTCGGTCAATTGCTCTTCATATCGGCCTCGTGGTGGTTGTTGGAGTAGAAACTTTACCTGAGTTTATGTAATATTGCAATAGTGGTGGCCATTTCTTTTTTTTTCATTGCATTCTTCCATAAAGAGTGATAGCACGCTCTCTGAGATGTACGTTTGTGTGCCCTCCTCCACACTTTGTGTATGTGCCCTATATATATATATATATGTAGTTAAAGTTAACTTGAGAGAAAGATTACAAATGATCGATAACAGCAATAATGGGGGGTGAGGTGGAGATGGTTGTTATCCCCCACCCACATTAACATGCTCCTTGTTTAAAATTTGGTCGAGGTTGGCCCAGCAATCTAGGAGTAATTAGATAAGGAACACAGACAGATAGACACACAGATGTTTGTGTTATATCTTTGATCGAAAAAGCTTATCGTAGACATAAACGCTACTTATAACGTGAAAATAAAATATTTAATTCCGAGGCTGCCACGGCGAAGATAGCCAATTGCGTAGCTTTCGTAAAAACAGCAAAAACAAAGAAATGCAAGTAGCGAGCCCACGTATTATGTAATTTTGATGTTTTATCGTGTTACAACACAGAGTAAAGAACTGCCCCCTCCAAAAAAAAAGTGAAATCACATTTTTTCATGCAAGATAAATAACTAATGAGATTAATTGCAGTATTCTTGATTGTTTTTTTTTGTTTTTTCTAATGTTGTGTGTGTGTCTGTCAGACTCGTATTATCAGGTACCTTGTAAACACCACTGACACTTTTGGTGCATGAAGAACTTTTAAACATATGTATAATAGCCGATGGAGTGCATGCACTTTATCGCTAATTCCAAGTATAAAGTTCAGTGGGGGGTAAAACACTGCATGAATTGGATAAAACGAAATGCATGAGAGGAATTTAGATTATTGTATAGCTAATAATAATCATCATTTAAGTAACAACAGTTTAACATCTTAATTTTCTAGTGATCCTGACGATCATTGGTACTTTGCATAATAAAAATGCGCGTTAGAACGAATGGCTATCTATGATGTTGTTGTTGCTTAAAGAATTCTAGGTTCGAATAAGGTTTCAAAATAAAACCTGAGTGTTATAGTCGTACGATTTTCCCTGTTTACCTGATGGTTCTGCTTTTGCAATTAATTACTTAGGAACTAGGGGCTTTTGGACTTTTTAATAACTACGAAAACATAAGTTATTGACCTGATTGATAAAATATAATTACCACTGCCAAGTGATACAAAAACGTAATTAGCTCTTAAAGCACCGTGTAAATAGGTAAAGCATACCTATACACAAATATTAGGGTGGGTATAGGGAGCGCACAGAAAAATCCTAGGTCAACGATCAGACTTAGTACGTAAATATAGGCCAAGATCTTATTAGAACTCCCTAATCAAAACATGTATGGTTCCTTGTAGCGCAAAGTTGTACAATAGAGTACTCGTGCTCTGACTACCACGGATAATAAAATCCCGAATTTTAGGTTTGAAAGTCAGTTAGTTCACCTTTGACTCACTAGGGGACTGGTTAAGACACTGAAAAACTATTTACAGAAACAAAAAGGAATGTGAAAATGTATTTTTTTTAAAAACCCTGGAATTACCTATCGGGATTTGAAACACATTTTTATGGACTATCGATGTCCCAAATTGTTGTAAACTTCCGACTTTATCCCAAAAAAACATGCGAGTAATAAAACATTAAAAAATTAGTCTTCCAGTTAACTACATTAGGTAATATTGGGACGCCATTTATATTTTTGCATAGAAAACTAGTGATTTATTCCGTTTTGTCTTAGGCCATTTCTTTAGACCGAGTGTTGTAACAGGCAAAAACGTAAAAAAAAAGAAAAAAAAAGACTCAATGTGATACATTATATGGACAACACCGGTGGTGAACAAGCTGGAAACGACAGACACCGGAGTATTCTTATCTACCAACAGTGTTTTAGGACGTGGTTCCGAGAGTACAGATCAGTTAGAAATCAGTATACGTTTACGAAATGTCAGTCTTCTATGTTAGTGAGAAACGAGCAGGATTTCGAATGTGATTTTATGCACTGCTGAATTGGTATTGCGCGAACAAACAGGATGTATTAATGTTTGTGTGAGGTCAAATTAATCAAAACCACGCTGTTTTGTGAAACTGATGTTACCGCGTGACGTCACTTCAGACATGTCACTGCAAGTAAACAGGTTTAGTGGTTGTTAGGGTTGGCAGTGATTGTAATATAAGCACTCGTGATATTAAAAAAAAAAAAAGGACAGGATCAACCGAAAGAAAAAAAAAGCAACGGAGATGAAACCCAGTGATGTCGAAAAATGAACACTTGAAAGATATGTAACACGAGCAATTAAGAATGGATAATATATGCATATATTTTAAAAGCACATTCAAATATACAACTAAAAACAATAAGTTATA